ACTTTGGACCAATTACCAGGTGCTGGTGAATTCTAGTCCCACCTTCGGCATGAAAGCCAGCTGGTTGACTTTGGGCCAATCCCCAGGTCACGGTAAGTTCTAGTCCCACTTTAGGCATGAAAGCCAGCTACTCTACTCTTCTTGCAAATGAGTGGATTAATTAAAAAAAAAAACAGAATAAAAATGTCTCCTGCTTTCTTTGACCGTTAGCTGGAGATCACCTATCTGCAGAACTGCTACGAGGTGATGGTGAACGGGCAGCTGAAATTTGAATACTATCATCGGATCCCTGCCTCTCAAGTGGATCAACTGGAAATAGCCGGAGACGTGAAACTTTCCTGCGTGCAGTACTGATCACCCTCTGTGAACCGTCGTGTCCTGTTTCGGCTCTGGGTTTTGGTGGAGAGAGAGCAAGATCCCCCATGTTGTCGTTCCCATGTCCCCCTTCCAGACCAATGTGCCTGCTCAGGTTTCCATCATGCCTGCAAAATAAAATCCCCCCCCATCAATTAAAAAAAGCCTGGAGTATGTGGTCCTCATAGAGAGGTATGGATAATTTGATGTCGGCCTCCCCAGGTGTAAAGAGACAGGAATCACAACCAACGGGCAAATTTCCGCTCTACAGGTAGTCCTCGACTTACAGCCCCAGCAGTCAAGTCCAAAATTTTCCCTTACTAAGCGAGACAGACGTTAAGTGGATTTTGCCCCGTTTTTCCCACCTTTCTTGCTACTGAATCTCTGAAAAAGATAAAGTTAATAACCCGGTCGTTAAGCGAATCTTGCTTCCCCCTTGACTTTGCTTGTGAGGTGGTCACAAAAGGGGATCACGTGACCTTGGGACACAGCGACGGTCATAAATAGGAACCAGTCGCCAAGCCGCTGAACTTTGAGCACATGATCACGGGGACGCTGCAAAAGTCTTTAACTACGAAAACTGGTCATAAGTCCCTTTTTTCATTGTCGTCATTTTGAACGGTCACTAAATGAAATGTTGTGAGTCAAGGACTACCTGTCCGCTGTGCTGTTTTGGTGAAAGCTTTTTTTTTCCCCCACCAGACATAACGAAAAGAGCTATAAAGCAGAAGAAGGGAAAGACGTGAAGAATTAGTGGGTTTTACCACGATGTAAAAAAGATGCTGAGACTCTAGAAAGAGCGCAGAGAAGAGCAACAAAGATGATTAGGGGACTGGAAGCTAAAACATATAAGGAACGGTTGCTGGAATTGGGAATGTCTAGTTTAATGAAGAGAAGGACGAGGGGGGACAGGATAGCAGTCTTCCAATATCTCAGGGGCTGCCCCAAAGAAGAGGGAGTCAAGCTATTCTCCAAAGCACCTGAAGGCAGGACGGGAAGCAACGTGTGGAAACTAACCAAGGAGAGAAGCAACCTAGAACTAAGGAGAAACTTCCTGACAGTTAGAACAATTAACCAGTGGAACAGCCTGCCTCCAGAAGCGGTGAATGCTCCAACACTGGAAGTTTTTAAGAAGAGACTGGACAGCCATTTGTCCGAAATGGTGTAGGGTTTCCTGCCTGAGCAGGGAGTTGGACTCGATGACCTCCAAGGTCCCTTCCAACTTTATTATCAACATCATCATCATCATCATCATCATCATCATCATGTTCTTGCTCAGTTACCCTACTCTGGAGAAAGCTTTGAGGCTGGGAATGGTGGAAAGAAAGAGCAGATGACCAGTACAGTAGAAGGACTCCATTATAGTGGTGATGTTCCCACTAGAGGGGATCAATTCATCCCGCCCCCCCCCCCCTGAATTACTTGGAAGAACTGAAGAATCAAGTTTGAGATGGATCATCCTGCAGAAAATCTATTTTCTAGTTGCTCATCGTTAACGTAATGGCGTATAATCAATCAATCACGTCTCTTCTGGATTTTGGGCTTGAGATAGAAAAAATATATATGAAACATTGACTTTGCATTTTGCCCATTAGATAAATCTGTTGTAATAGAAATAGCTGGTCCGTATCAGTACGTAAAAGTAAGACGTCGAGGCTGTAATGTTATTGTCTTATTTTATTGCACTAAAAAGAGTTGCAAGTCGATGTTTTTCCTCCCCCTCCTTTTCCCCTTTGTTTCTTTCTCTTCCTTTTTTCTTTCCCCCTTCACACTATTTTCATTTTCTTTTGTATTTTATACCTTGAAAAGAATCAATTTATTAAAAATCAATCAATCAATCAATGCTTGTAGATCCTTCAAACAGGGCCTGTGGATTCGGTTTTTATGAACCAGCAGTGCAGATTTTCAAATTTTATTCTACTTCACTCTTGGCAATAACAATCCTACAGAAGAGCATCTGGGTCCCCAAATTTAAAGAGTGACAGCAGAAATAGGGGCACCGTGTGAAGATCTGAACGGAAAGATCACCTATGGAGAATGGGAGAAGGTCTAGCTACGAGGTCACCAAGAGTTGATACCAACTTGATGGCTCAGAAACAGGACACCACCTCCACAAAGACTGACCTTGCTGTGTTTTAATCACCATCAGCTAGAATCGATTTATAGTAGATCACCACTCCCTTGATTTACACCCCTCCCGTGAAATTAAATCAGTTATTATTTCATTTTCCTTAGTCCTGCTCAAATCATACCTTCCCTCCGAAATGAATAAGCTAAGTGTATAGATGAAGGCAGTTGAGCATCTTCGGACAAACTCTCACGAATCTGATACGATTCTACATTTACACGCTCATGAAGTGCCTCCAACCTTGTGCAACCAAGTCTACATTTTTTAAAGATATTATGGGAAACATTAGCCAGGAGAAGACGACTCTCTTGAAATGGGATCATCCCTCTTTCCCCCAAAACAGCGAAAGCAGTTTTAGTGTGTTCGGTCCAGCCTTAATTATTAGATGATAGAGGACCTACTGCGATTTAAGTAGCAAAGAGGCAGCAAAAAATTCTTTTCCCTGGACAAATAGTTCAGCGTATTTCAGTTTTCTGCTGAGCTCTTATAACCAGCCTCCCCTCTAACCTCATCCCCTTCAACAGCCGTGTTCAGGAAGCATATCTGTGCATCAAGTGTGCGCTGAAGGCACCTCTATCTGGATATCCGGTAACAAATTGCAGCTGTTAATAATGTCTATCTTGTCCGCCACGGCCCGCAGGTCCTCCAGAACCAGCCGGATGTTGTGTGAAGCGTTGATGATGCCATTTTGGGAATTGCTCAGCTGTCCAGTAATGGCTCCAATCTCCTTGATGGCGGTTTGGTAGACCTGCTTGATGGTGGCGTTGATGTCGTAGTATAAGCGGGCGTTGCTCTCCACCAGCTTCTGTTGCAACAGGGTGCTGTATCGGCCCCGGTGTTTGATGTGGAGGGCGGGCTTCTCCTCCACGGCCGTGGGAGACTCCGAATCTTCGTTCTTGTAAACGATCAGGGGAGGTAAATCTGTCGCGATCAATTTAGCCTCAGTTTTCGATCCAGCAGGACTTTGGGCTTCGTCTTCCTCGTCTGTTTCAGAGGCTTCCCCAGCGACTTGCACTCCCGAAGGGCTGCCGAAAGCCGCTTGATAGGAGGCAGAACAATTGATTTCTTCCTCCGAGTCGGTTTCTGAGGCTTCACCCTGGATGACGGTTTTGTACCCCGGAGAGATCATTTCTGGATCACCTTAAAAGAGGAAATGTATAAAAATATGAATCCGGAATGCTGGAAATGTAAAAATAAGGAAGGGACATTCTATCACATGTGGTGGCTGTGCCCCAAAGCAAAGAGCTATTGGGAGCGGATAGGGAACTGGATACAGGAGATAACTAAGGTGCAAATTGAATTCAAACCTGAACTATTTCTTCTGGGTATAATAAATTTAAAGATCAAAAAGCAACTCCATCACATCATTATACATATATTGACAGCAGCCCGTATAGTATATGCTCAGTGTTGGAAGGGTGAAAACATACCTACAAACGATATGATTATATACAAAATTCTTGAATGCGCAGAAATGAATAAACTTACGCTAGAATTAAAAGACAAGGAGGCAACAGAATGTTATGAAATATGGAATAAATGTTACGATTGGCTAGAACAAAGAAAGAAAAAGACATGATTACTGATGTAAATAAATTGTAAATAATATATATGAGATGTATAACACACCTTTGTTAAGGGAAAAAATATATTTTTTCAGTTTTATTTTTGTTGTATAGTGGAAAAAAGGAAAAATAAAAACTAAAAAAAAGAGGAAAGGAAGCAGAGTTGACCATTGGAGAGGCAGGCTTCCAGGAGGAATCTTTCTGTTCTGGAATACACGCCTCAGATAAAACATATCTGCAGTGGATTAATCCCTGGAGATCTTGAGATGTGATTAGTTCATAAGTGTTAGCAAACTACTAAGCAGATCTAGCAGATTCAGGGGATGAGGACCCTGTTTGTGAGGACAGTGACCGGGTTCGTGCAGAACGGAACAAGTAGTCCTCGACTTACCCGTTCATTTAATGGCCATTCAAAGTTGCAACGTCACTGAAAAAACCATGGACCATTTTTCACCGTTACCACCTTTGTTGCCTCCCCATGATCATGGGATCAAAATTTAGAGGCTTGGCAACACTCCTATTTATGACCGTTGACCTATCCCAGGTCATTTGATCCCCTTTTGCAACCTCAAAGTCAGTGGACAAGCCAGATTAACTTAACAACCAGGTTACAGAGTTATCAACTGCAGTGATTCTCTTAACAACTGTGGTAAAAGTCGTAAAATGGGGCAAAAACTCACTTGAATGTCTCACTTAGCGACAGAAATTTTAAGCTCAATTGTGGTCATAAACTGAGGACATCCCTTTTGTTGGGATGTGGCTTAGCGCAAGGGTAGGCAACCTTGGCTCTTTTATGACTGGTGGACTTCAACTCCCAGAATTCCTGAGCCAGCATGGGGGAACTATGGCCCCCTCATGACTCATGGACTTCAACTCCCAGAATTCCTAAGCCAGCATAACTCAGCATGGAAACCTCTCCCTTTCCCCTCAGCATGGCTGGCTCAGGAATTCTGGGAGTTGAAGTCCACCAGTCATAAAAGAGCCAAGGTTGACTACCCCTGGTTTAGCGTGACATGACGTTACCCGGTCAGATCATGAGACATCTGCAAACAAACCACCAAGCTGAGAGAGCAGCAAGGACCCCACAGCCCTCCTCCCCTTTTCCTCCTCCACTCCGCAAAACCCACTCCCTTCAAGCACTGATGATATTCCCTAGTTGGGTCACGAAACGTCTGCAAGAAAAAAAAACAAGTTATGAGAGCACCAAGGACCCCACATTGAAACCTTGAATCTCAGAAATTGTTTCTCAACAAATGGGGAGGGGAACAGTGGCTGGGAATTCTGGGCTCTGCTAAGGACCCTCCCGACTTCTCCATGTCCTCTCCTGCAGGAGGTGGAATGGGTCCCCGTTGTGTGCAAAGGGAGCCCATTCCCAAGTGTGCACGCAAAGGAGTCTAGGTCAGGGATGTTCAACCTCGGCAGTCAATCAATCAGAATAGAGCTGGAAGGGACCTCAGAGGTCTTCCAGTCCAACCCCCTGCTCAAGCAGGAGACCATACCACCATTCCAGACAAGTGGCTGTCCAATCTCTTCTTAAAAGCCCCCCCAGGGTTGCAGCACCCACAACTTCTGGTGGCAAGCTGTTCCGCTGGCTAATTATTCCCGCTCTCAGGAAATTTCTCCTTAATTCCAAGTCGCTTTCTCGCCTTGATTACTTTCCATGCATCGTTTCTTGTCTTGGCTTCGGGTGCTTTGGAAAACAAGCTGACACCCCCCCCCCCTCTTCTTTGTAACTTTAACTTAACTGGGCCACTTTAAGACCTGTTGGACTGCAAGTCCCAGAATTCCCTGGGGGAGGGGGGAGGTTGAAGGAGTTGGCTGGGGGGTTCTGGAAGTTGGAAGTCCCCCCCCCCCACCAAGTCTTAAAAGTTGGCCAGGTTGGACCCCACCCCACCCCACCCCGCCTAGGCTGGGATTGCTGCAAAGGATCCCAGCTGCCACTGTTACTGCTGTTGCTACTGTTACCATTACCCACCCAGCAATCCAGACACTCACCTTCCCAACCAGGAAACAGCCACTTCCTCTTGGCAGGTCACCTGACAGGTCACGTGATCGTAGCCCGGCTCACTCACCCACCCACCCATGCTCGCGGGGGGGTTCGTCTCTGCTGCGCATGCGTTTGGAGAGGGAACCGTGCTTTGCGCGCAGAGAAAGACGCTGGGGACGGAAAGGGGCCTGCATGCGTCGAGGTGTCCGCCTGGGGAGGGGGCTCTCTGGGCCCCAGCGATGGAGGCTGGGGTCTTCGTCCCCCACCACCACCACCACCCGGGGACAGGCCCATCCCCTCCACCACCACCCCCGGTCTGGTCCCGTGGCTGCTGAGCCTTTCCGAGTGCGCAGGCGCCGCGCGTGGCGCTCCGAGGCTTGCAATGGAAAATTGCAAATGCATAAAAAAAATAATAATCAAGTTTTGACATAGATGAGAGTCTGGAGGGAGGGAGGAGCTGGAAGCGCAGCCCCAGAATTCCCCAGCTGGGTGTGTGTTAAGATGGGTGGACTTCAACTCCCAGAATTCCCCAGCTAGCCTGCTGTTTAAGTTGGGTGGATTTTAACTCCCAGAATTCCCCAGCTAGCATGCTCTTTAAGTTGGGTGGACCTCAACTCCCAGAATTCTGCACCCAGCTTTTTCCTATGTTCTAGATCAGGGGTTTCCAGTCTTGGCAGTTTTAATGCCTCCGGCCTTTTAAAAGTCTGGAGGGAGGAAGGAGCTGGAAACATAGCCTCATAAACCACTGGTCAATGTATGATGGGTGGACTTCCAACTCCCAGGATTCCCCAGTCAATGTGTTTTAAGATGGATGGACTTGGAGTCCCAGAATTCCCTAGCTGGCGTGTATTAAAATGAGTGGACTTCGACCCCCAGAATTCCCAACGGTTGTCTTTTTAAGCTAGGACTCAGGAGTAGGCAATCTTGGCTCTTTTATGACTCGTGGACTTCAACTCCCAGAATTCCTGAGCCAGCATGGGGGAACTATGGCCCCCTCATGACTCGTGGACTTCAACTCCCAGAATTCCTGAGCCAGCATGGGGGAACTATGGCCCCCTCATGACTGGTGGACTTCAACTCCCAGAATTCCTGAGCCAGCATGGCTCAGCTTGGAAACCTCTCCCTTTCCCCTCAGCATGGCTGGCTCAGGAATTCTGGGAGTTGAAGTCCACCAGTCATAAAAGAGCCAGGTTGCCTACCCCTGAGCTAGGTGGATTTGGCCTCTCCCAGAATTCTGGGATTTGAAGTCCACCCATCTTAAAAGTTGCGGAACTTGAGAAACGCTGAGATCTTTTGAGGAGACACAGCAGAACAGTTCCCTCCATTTTGAGGAGGAATGTCTTTTCTCCCCCATTTTTTTTTAAAGCAAGGAAAAAGCCTCAATATTTGGGGAAAATGGTGCATATCTGGCAGCACTTCACTGCCTGGCATAGCAGTGCTCAGCTGGCCTCTCTTTAAAAGTGGATGTCCACCCCAGCTTAAAAACACTCTGGCTGGGGAATTCTGGGAATTGAAGTCTTAAAGTTGCTAAGGTTGAGAAAGGCCGGTTTAAGGTTAAAGATGGCCATTGGCAGTAGCCTCTTTAATAGCCAGCGGCCAGATCTTTGATGCCGGTATAGGAAGAACTGTTGACGAACACCACTCGTGCAAACCCACGTCCTGCCAGCTCTTTTCTCAACCACACAGCTTCCCCCTGTTTACACAGCAAGTGAAGAGTGTGGTGCAGAATCAGGAACCGCAAGAGAAGGAGGAAGAATGAAAAACCCGCTATCCTGAGCCGTGTTGAAAAAGGTGCGAAAACGAAACCACCGTGTGTTACTCTACTTCCTGTATTTTCTCTGAAGTGGTCGGGAGTAGGTCGAGCTGTATGTAGTAGGAGGGCGTCAGCAGGTGCTAAGAAACCGTGGTTAGAACCAGGGAGGAAAGAGAGCAAAACACTTGCATACACAGCATATCTGCGTCTCTCAATCTCAGCAACTCCCAGAACTCCAAGCCATGCAGGATGGAGGATTCTGGGAGTTGAAGTCCATGCATGCTGTCCAGAGAATTCAGGCAGTTCACACACTGCTGGGGAATTCTGGGAGTTGAAGTCTGCACATGCTGTCTGGAGAATTCTGGGAGTTGAAGTTGACACACGCTGGCAGGGGAATTCTGGGAGTTGAAGTCCAGGAATGCTGGCTGGGGAATTCTGGGAAGTCCACATACCTTAAAAGTTGCCCAGGTTGAGAAATAGCAGATTAGGGATTAGGCACCCAGCCCCTTCTGTCTGTCATCTGATGCCATTTTTATGACTATTTTTTGACTCAACAACTTAATTTTTCAGCAATTCATTTGCAAATTAGTGCAATTCCTGGCTTTTGTCCTTTCTGCGTAGGTGCTTGGTTCATTTTCAAATTACAGCCATGAGGGTCAATATTAGCCGAATCTTGCATTTTCAAATTTACTCTGTTCAGAGATACTTTTGAAGGTAAATCAGAACCAAGCCTTGTTAGAATTTATGGATTAAAACTAACACTTTGAAATGTACCCAGATACTTACTGATAACTGAAATAGGAGGGCCAACTACACTGGGGTCATATTGCTGTGGCAACATCCACTAGCCAACATGGGCCACTTTATAATGCCTTGGTAAGACCACCCTTTTTGGTCACCACAATATAAAAAAGAGGTTGAGACTCCAGAAAGACCGCAGAGAAGAGCAAAAAAGATGATCAGGGGACTGGAGGCTAAAACATACGAAGGACGGTTGCAGGAATTGGGTCTGTCTAGTTCAGGGGTAGGCAACCTTGGCGCTCTTATGACTCGTGGACTTCAACTCCCAGAATTCCTGAGCCAGCATGAGGGAACTATGGCCCCCTCATGACTTGTGGACTTCAACTCCCAGAATTCCTGAGCCAGCATGGGGGAACTATGGCCCCTTCATGACTTGTGGACTTCAACTCCCAGAATTCCTGAGTCAGCATGGCTCAGCATGGAAACCTCTCCCTTTCCCCTCAGCATGGCTGGCTCAGGAATTCTGGGAGTTGAAGTCCACTAGTCATAAAAGAGCCAATGTTGCCAATGTTGAAAAGAAGGACTAGGGGTGACATGATAGCAGAGGACCCAAATTGTTGGGGGCAATCTGCTGAGTCTGTAAATCGCTTAGAGAGGGCTGTAAAGCTCTGTGAAGCGGTATATAAGTCTAAGTGCTATTGCTGCTGCAGAGTTCCAAGATTTGAGGGACTGCCACAAAGAAGAGGGGGTCAACTTATTCTCTAAAACACCTGAAGGCAGGACGAGAAACAATGGATGGAAACCAGTCAAGGAGAGTAGAAACCTAGAGCTAAGGAGAAATTTCCTGATGGAGCAATTATTAGATTTAGTTTTAGTTTAATCAAACTATAAGCTGTTAGTTGATAATGAACTATAAATTTAGTTTTAGTTTATGGGTATATAAATTTGCTTAATCAATGAAACAAACTCTACGGATGGAACTTGAGGAAAATAGAGATTTGCCTGACATTTTTCTGGTACCTTTAGAGATAAATCTAGTGTAGATTAGTCTTAGATTTTCAAGTCTCATTCCCTCCAAACTATAGTGGCGGGTCACAACTGGACTATTATTGTTATGTATTTATGAAAGGATCAATGGATGGAAACTAATCAAGGAGAGAAGCAACCTAGAACTAAGGAAAAAATTCCTGGCAGTGAGAACAATTAACCAGAGGAACGGCTTGCCTCCAAAAGTTGTGGATGCTTCAACACTGTGGAGGTTTTTAAGAAGAGACTGGACAGCCATTTGTCTGAAGTGGAATAGGGTCTCCTGCTTGAGCAGGGGGCTGGACTAGAAGACCTCCAAGATCCCTTCCAACTCTGTTATTCTCTGATTCTGTAAGGGTCTCCTGCTTGAGCAGGGGGCTGGACTAGATGACCTCCAAGGTCCCTTCCAACTCTGTTATTCTCTGATTCTGTAAGGGTCTCCTGCTTGAGCAGGGGGTTGGACTAAATGACCTCCAAGGTCCCTTCCAACTCATTCTGTTGTTATTCTGCACTTTGAACTCGCAATAGTATCCTATCGGTCTTTAAACTTAGCCCCATATAAATTACACTGCTCTACTATTGTGGTTGGGGCTGTATGTAGGTGGTATCTGACCACTGATGTTTTCTGAAAGGCTCATGTCGTATGAAGTTCATCTTAATACATGTTGTATGAAGTTCACCTTAAGGCAGGGGTGAGCATAGCTGACTCAGGAATTCTGGGAGCTGAAGTCCACAGGTCATAAAATTGCCATAGTTGCCCCCCCTCTCCCCCCCATCTTAAGGGATAGAAGCAGTTCCATTATGACATTCTGAGCACCACTATGCAAAGTGAAAAAATGTGAGTTTCTCTCTTGTTTTTACATCATGGATTCTGCCCGTTGATGGTAAACGATGGGATTTCTCGAAAGAAAACTTTTTGAGTTCTCACAGCTGCCGAAAAACAAGTCATGTGGACAAATGGTTCTTCCCATCTCCTTATTCTTTTGTCTTCTTGGGGAGCTGGACGGTCCAAAGCTGGCTGGAGACTTTTTGACAATCTGATGCAAGGGTGACTTGACTGATTTTCTAAGGTGGCCTTTGGCTGGAGTTTCCCACAGCTGGCGATGAGAAAAGCTGAGGGCCTTCCAAAGGAGAACTCTGTTGGATGATTGAGGAATTTGAGAAAAAACAAGACGTAATCGATTTCCTTGCTGTGTCGGCCACTTTAAATGGATATTCTGCTCAATTTGGGTAATCAGACCCAAGAAGTTTGGTGTGGGGGAAAAACCAGAACGTTATAGTCCCCATATCTTCAAAAGAGGAAGCGTCTCAATAGTAGAGGTTGGAAAATAAGACAATGCAGGCAGAACTGAGTTACAAGGAGGACATTTTCCATCCGTTTGAGAGATTTTAAAAGTTTTCATCAGTTTCCTGTTTGGAATTTCTGGCAAACGCAGGAATTTACACGGCTGAAGTTCATCAGTGCCATCCTAGAGGAATTGGGGGCTCCAGAAGGGCTTTGTG